GTGTGGGGGGTCCTGACCCAAGCCAGCCGAGAGCGGGGTGATTTCAGGGTTCATAGGGGGTGCTGCGTTGGCAGGGGGTGCTGCCTGGGCTCCAGCCGGAGCCACCAAATCCTGCTGGGTGACGGGGCGCGGCTGAAGGGCCTGGCTGCTGAGTGTGGTGTGTGTCTGGGCAATACTGTGGTTATAATTGGTGACGGTGCCCACGGTCGGGGCCAGGGTCTGCTCAGTGGCTGTGGCGGTGGAGCTCAGAGTCATAACTTTGGCCTGGTTCCGGAACTGGGCGTTCTGCTCCAGCAGCACCTCGTTGGTCGCCAGCAGGTTGTTGACCTGTTTCTTGAGGTCCTCCACGCGCTTGCGCAGCATGATGTTCTCCTCCTCCAAGAGCCGGTACTCCACTGTGCGCGGGCTGGTGAAGCTGTACTCGTAGGTTTCGAAGTGCAGCCCATCCACGCGCCTCCTCTTCAGCACCGGGTCATGGTCGTCATAGCGGTCAGGGTCGTACATGACATCATAGGGGTCGTAGCGGCGCACGGTGGTGGCAATGCCCTGGTCCCGGGCCGCGATGACCCGAGCGTCATACTCGTACTCTCGCTGCAAGTGCTGGAATTTGCACTTTGCTCCCCGCTGGCAGTCGCCCTTTAGGAAGTCCCGGCATATCGGTACCTCCTCCTTGCTGTTAGGCAAGTCTGCCGGGGAGAGGCCCAGCCCAGCGGCCACCTTCTGGCGAAGGCGTGGGGGCAGCTCTCCCGTCTTCTTGTAATAGTCCTCGTCCTCTTTGGTGCCATGGATGAAGCGGCAGTTGAGACGCACGCACTCCTTGTTCTGGAAGTCATGGCAGAAAATGAACTCGTTCTTGCGCACGCCCAGGTTAGTGACCTCGCTGATGTCAGGGTGCCGGAAGCGACAGCGCTTGCCTCGCTTGCAGACGTTGCGCAGGAAGTCACGGCAGATGTCGTCTGAGTTGGTGCCTGCCTCATCGCTGCTGCTGCCGTTGTTGTAGCTTTCACGGTCGGGCATTTTTCCACCCACGCCCTACCCGCTCCCCCCCCGTTGGCGTGAGTTCAGGCAACTGCAAAAGAGGACAAGAGGCAGCAGTAAGAAAACAAGACAATGAAGGGGCAAATGGAGTCTTACTTCAAGGAGTGAATTGTGCTGGTGTGGCTGGCAGGGAAATATCTGCCCTGAAGAATTACAAGCAAGTTGCCGCCTCTGCTGTGATTAAGTTTATGATCAATTTTCAGTGTAACGTTTGACTGTTCAGTGCTGCAAAATCCACATGGCTGCTCAGAGGCTATGTCTACACTGGTGCGATCTTGCACCAGAGCTATGCAAATGAGGCTAAGCATGGAATATCGCTGAGCCTCATTTGCATATATAAGGCCCTGCCATTTTTGAAGAAGAGGCTCTTGCGCAGGAAGGAGCTGTCTACCCTGCCGCTTCTTGCGCAAGAAAAACCCTCTTGCACAATGCTGCTGCGCTGATTATTTTCAGGAATAATGGCATTGCACAAGAGGGTTTTTCTTGCGCAAGAAGCGGCAGGGTAGACAGCTCCTTCCTGCGCAAGAGCCTCTTCTTCAAAAATGGCAGGGCCTTATATATGCAAATGAGGCTAAGCATGGAATATCGCTGAGCCTCATTTGCATAGCTCTGGTGCAAGATCGCACCAGTGTAGACATAGCCAGGTTGTTTTGAAATGTCGTGTCTCTCATGGCCATGCTAGGCAGGGTTAGTGATTAAAATTTGGGACCGTCTGACCTTGCGGTTTCTGAGATTTAAAGTTGAGGGATTCTGTATGAGAAATTATCAACTTTTATTTGCATAGAGCTTGTTATACTGGTTACTTCACAGGACCCAGCATGACTCTCCTAACTTTGTTGTACAGCCACCTTTCCGTTGAGACTTGGGCTGAGAACCAGCCAACTCTTTGTGCATAACAACCCAAACAGCTTCCAGACCTTTACCACGGTACACCATTCCACTGCTAGTTAATAGTACCTCTACAAACCAGATGCAGTGGATGGAATTTGCACACCTGCTGCATTTCAATAGTGGCTTTGCCTGCAGTTCCAAACCACCACAAACTGAGTCTCTAAACAAGTAAGGTTCAGACTCCTTCAGCTACTAGGGATGCAATAGTGTAGTCGATTAACGGATAGCAAAAGATTATAGGTTAATGCTATAGACTACACGCATTCCTCCCCCTGCCAATAGTACATTTTTTAGCAGGCTGGCCAGCAGCCTAGCTCAGTCCCAACTTGTGCTGGGTCCGGGACCTATTACTGCTACAGTTCTGCATTTAAAGTGTATTAAGAACTAGGTGGGCAGGCAGCCTAGCTCAGTTCTGGCTTGCGCTGGGTCTGGGAGCTCTGACCCCCCCCCCCCCCCCCCCCCCCCGGGCGCGGCCAC